GCAAATGCTTATTGTCCAAAAATTCAGGAACCTCAAGTTTATAACTTTTGATCATCAGTTTTCCTCTATTTAGGATCCTTTGAAGTGTCTTGTCTTCTGAATCTATCACTATGAAAAATTTTTACATTATTATCTCTCTAGGACATTGTCAGTTCATACTTGAACTATCTCCCACTCTTCTAGCATTCATATTCCTGCTCCAAACTCCAAATTCTAGTGCTAACTCTCAGAACACCCTAACTTCCAGGTTCGTGAAAAAGCAAAGTCATTCTTCTATAGATCTTTTCCTCCTCTGCAGTGCAATAAATTACCACCAACTTAGTGAATAAAAACAAAACACATTTGCTATCTTGTGGGTTATGCTATCTTCCCATTACTAAATAGAGGTCTCCATTGAAGATTAAAAGTTCCCATGTAAACCTTGCAGGCCTCTTCAAATTCACTGGTGTTTAGCAGTTGGTTTTTCTGATTCTAAGATTTCAGTTCTCTTGCTGCTGAAGAGATTTATCTATGCTCCCAGAATTTACTAAAGCTTCTCTGGCACAAGTCTCCTATAACCTGTTTAAACAGCTATTGATTTTTCTCAAGTTACATAGGAGAGAGCCTTTCTGACTCTTTTACTGTTAAAGACCTTAATTTATTATACCGGATGGACTTTTGATAATTTCCCTTCCATGATCGCAAAAGGTATCTATGGTTATGTATGCAAAACTCCTTTTACCATATGAGGTAAAATAATCAAGCAGAAACCCCACTTCATATCCAGGATCCTCCCCCTACACGTGAGGTGAGGGGGTTACATAAGGATGCTGGGTCCTTGAGGGTTATCACAAATTTTGCTTAATATGTTAAAGTAAAAGCTAGTTATCTAGACAGGAAAATTTTAAGATTTGGTAATAAGAAATGCTCAAACTGCAAATTACCAAGCGTATAAATAGAATGAAAACTTTAATGCAGCTGCCAGCTCTCAGGGTGTTGAATGATTTAGGAAGGCAATGCACATCCTTTTTCACAGTAAATGGCAGAGACTCAGACTTCCTTACTTCCCAGAAGATTAAAGGCTGCAGTGAAACACCTGTGGTTAGGATGTAGAGCTTCCCAGAGGCACCAAAAGGATGTCTGAGTCAGTGCATGGAGGGACAGGGAACGCAGAATTAGCTGGAATTTTGATAGTTTCATTCTATCCTTGAAAGCTTTTAGAGAAAAAAACAAGTCTCCCTATTGCTTGGATAATACATTCCTAGCTCATTAGTCCAGAATAGACTGTTTTCTACAGCAGATCTGTTTTCCACAGCAGATTTGAACTCTGTATCCTTGCTTGCCTTTCCTAACCATACCACATATAAAAATTCACCATTATTCAAATGACTTGCCTTTACTACAGAAATAAATAAAATTCCTTTCTGTAGAATTTCCTGCAACTTACTTCTAGCCCCAAGGCAAATGATGTATTTATTAAGACCTATATTCAATATATAATAAATTATATATATAATTTACCAAATGTGGTTTATGAATGAGCACGTGAGGGGTCTTGCTTTTCCATAAAGCAGGACTCTGCTTCCCTTGCACAAACACTGCAGCTAATTCATGTATTTGTGCCTAGAAGACCCCATGTTTATACAATCATCTCTCCTTTGTGACTATATTAGTATACCACTGCCTTTTCTGTTTTATTTATAATTTTAATTGATATAGTCACACACCTCAACAATCATTATTTGTTGGAGAAAGAAGTAATAGCAAATGCTAAATACATAAAATATTCTTTGTGCTTCTTTGTGCCTGGCAGCAGTTTCTACACATCCATCTTGGTACATTACCTGAAGCAGCAGTATCAATGAGAGATACTGCTAGTTTAGCAGATGAGAAGACAAAAATCTCAGAAAAGAAGGACTTCTGCACAGATAATTGATATTTATGTCAGCCTGTAAATGAATGCAGTCCTCTACAGATAAATGTGATCAAGTAATGCTTTCTAGAAAGAAAAAAATTCACCCAGGAACACACACACACAAATTGCACATGACAGATTATTCTAATGATAACTATTTTTGTACAAATTTCTCTCTATAGAATATAATTCTATTAATAATTATTTTAATTACTGTTGTCACCTTAAGCATCTCCAGGTCATGGGTCTTGGATCCTTTATTTGCCACTTCTCTTCCATGCCTTGATACACTGGAAAATTCCTATTGACCTGAATTGGATTCTAGTAACCTCACTTTCCCTTCTATGTTACACTAAGGGTTATCTGTGCTCAAAGTTGCAAATAAATTCTGCTAAACAGTAATAGAAGTCATATATATATATATATATACATGTATATATATATATACATTTATATATATATATATATATATATATATATATATATATATAAAATCTCTAGAAAGACAAGGTAGTGCAAGGTGATGATCGAGCATTCCTTGTCCTGTGTGGTATTGGCTAAAATAGCAATTCTGTAAAATAGCACATAGCAAATGCACAGAACATCAAGCAAAATGAATGTTCATTCTGTGTAGACTACTACACTAATCTTATTTACATGTACACATAAAGTAAAGTTTACACCACTCAGGAGGCTCACCATCTGATTGGGGAGACAAACTACCCACACATGCAGAAGAGTTATAAACAAACAAAAATGGCATAAAGATGAATTAAAGGGTGGGGGCCATAACGTTTCTATAAACTAATGCATTGGAGAGGAGAAGAAAAGGAGGCTTCATAGCTTCAGAATAGGGAGCAGAATCATATGCTGAGTCTGTATATTTCTTTGTCATAGTGTTTGTTCAGATCTTGATCCAGATGTCATTAATGTTCAGTGTTTTATGGAGCCATTCTTTTCACCGCTTTACAGCTAAACATAAGAATGCCACCTCCCTTCACATATATTCAGTTTTATTTGTTATCTGAAGCAGAAGCCAGATTTGTTTAGAAATAATCTATTGTATAAAATTCATTATATTGCAGGTTTTGATGAAGTTACAATATTAAGTACAGTCAATCAACATTAATGAACTATCTAATATGTTACCTCTTTAACTACCCTGGGGAGATAGGAAAAAAAATGGCCGTTGGAACATCAAGAAAATAACGCAAACTTGCATTCAATGAACTGGTTCGCTATGTCACAGAGAAGGGATACCAGCTACAAAATAATCAGCTCAGGCTTCATGAGCACCTTCTCTTCTTTCAGAGGACCTAGCTTCAATTGCAATTATAGACAGCAGGTAGTTACAATTACCAGCAATTCTGGCACCCCTCTCTGGTCTTCACAGGCATCCTAAAATGTGTGCCTCTTACTTGACACATACAGACACCTACATATGCACATGGAAATAGATATGGACATAAACATAAGTAGTGTTTTAAAATCATTGACATAATGTTTAAGAAATGTTTCAATCCTAAAACGACTCTGTCACAGAAAAAGACTATTGAGAAGCTTCAGAATTTGCTGCCCAGAGCACTCTTGTAAGCTAGGGCAGGAATTATATATATCCTTGCATTATATTTTCCACTAGAAGGGCCTAATATTAAACTGTCTGGAACAAATGCTTGCCAGAGTCAGATAACCAGGGACACAGAAGAGGATTAGCTTAGGAAAGGTCTGACTAGGTCCAGAAAAATATACCAAATATATCCTAGAGTCACTATTAGGATGGCTGTCATTGAGCCTGCTAAATACATGATTCAGGGCACATAGAAATCTGAATGTTGACTTTAGAATGATAAAGTGTTCAGTTTCCATCTTGTATTTTACATTTCTCTTAGCATATATAGACTAAAATATATTTAGTAAGTAGGCAAAGATGGTTATTAAGATTAAAATTATTGAGAAGATACTATTATGAGAATATATAAGAGAAAGTAAGGTAAAAAACAGATAAAAATAATTTTACAGATTATAATCTTGGTGTGATAAGCAAACTCATGCTGGGACTGTGTTTTCATGACTCAGAATCAAATAACTGGATACAATGTAAGAACTTCATGTAACTGTAATCAGAATGGTTGGCGTAGCATGTCTTATAGAAGACTGGGCCAAGAATCATACCATTACCATATAACAGGTAACTTGTTTGAATAATCACCACAAACAAATGTCACACTATTCCTAATGTGTATGTGATATCAGACCCAACATCTTCATATGGGGTTAAAGACCCTAATCATCTCTGTATGAATGATTTCATTCATTTGTATACTAGCCATTTACTAGTGAAAACTTCTCTTCTTTAAAAACCTCAGACTCTGTGTTTTATGTGTGTCAGGAAAGGCTGGAATCTGCACAAAACTTCTAAGTTATTATAAATTTTTACCGAAACACAACAAATCTTTTACATTAGTAGAATCACTAGAAATCAAGTATAATATTTAGGTTTTCCTTTCAAAACTTTATAATTCCAGAAGCCTAAAAAAATGAAAATATAACTCATGACATCTTCTTGACTATAATATACATTATATCTATGGAGTTTGAATAATGGTGTGCTTACTGCTCTAAATTTTCAAGTATTAATTTATGTGGTTTTTTCTTGTATTAACTTATTTTCTGGTCTTCTATGAAGTATATATTTGTATCAGACTTGTTTTTTATGAGCAGAAAATGAAGTACACAGTGATTATATTAAAGCTTTTTATTTGTTTATGTTGTGTGTGTTTCAAAGTGAAGCATGCATGTGAGTGTTTAGAGTTCAGAGGACTGCTTGCAGGAGCGGGATCTCTCATTCCATCATGAGACTCCCATGAAATTCAAGTCAGCAGACTTAGCATCAGGCCATTCCACTTCCTGAGCCATCTTGCAGCTCCACAGTCATGATCTGAACACACTTCATGACATTACACAACAAGAAATTAGCAAAGCTCATTAAAACTGTGTTTAATAGTAAGTAATGGTGTGGTCTGAAAAATACAGAAACTCTCTGTTTTAATGAGGCATAACAGGTTATGTGGGTTAATGCTGACTTGAGGACTTCCCCATGCCTTACCTTTAATTTCTTTGTCATTTTTGAACCATCTTATATCAGCTGCAGGTTTACTGCCAGATGTCTTACAGGTCAGCTGCATCAGGTCTCCTTCCATGACTGGTGATGAAAATCCACTAATCTGAGGCTTCTCTGGAACACCTGAAATTCAGTCAAATAAGGACAGTGAGGATCAGTCTCCAGTGATGGCCTAAACTACTGTGTGATAAAATACACCTTTACAGATATGCTAAATATGTATATACACCATCCAGACAGAAGTTTAAAGTATATTCACTTGAAAGTGGTTTTTAAATAAAAATTATAAAATTTCACCTTCAAAATGTCTTTGTAAGCTTTAACATACAGCCATTCAAATGCCTGTGTGGAAATCTAAGGAAGTAGACTATATTGGAAAAAAAAGATCATAAAACATTTTTCTCCTTTGTCAGCATTATAATTTAACTAAACTAGAACCTTACACTCTTGATTTTATAATTCTTAAACCTCAAAAGATATTATTATATGCCCTGTAATTTATTCAAGAAAATTAGTTTTTGAATAGGGATTCATGTACATTTACATCAAGAGTGACTATTGATTCTTTAAAGTTAAAATATAGAATTCATCTCAATATTTTCACTAGAAATTCAATTGTGTTTGGAGAATCATGATATCTACCTACTACTCTAATCACTTTTATTTTTTCTCATTTTTCTCTATTTCAAATCACCTTAGGTAAATAATTGATACTCTAAAAATAGATGTGAGTAATCCAAAAACAGAATATCATATGTTTAAAATAGATTTTATTATGTGTGTGTGTGTGTGTGTGTGTGTGTGCATGTATGAAGGAATGTGTACATGTTCATGTGAGAGGTTACACTAAGGCCATGGTTGGCATGTGGAAGTCACAGGAAAACTCATGGACTGGTCCTCACCCTATGTTTTGTCTGAGGCAGGTTCATTCCTGGTCTTAACCACTGTGATGGCTTTTCCAGGAAAGCTGTTCCATGTGCTTCCTAAGAATTCTCCATCACTGCCTCCTATTTAGCTGCTGGAATGCAGCTATGGATACGGACTCACACTACAATGCTAGGTTTCTATGTGAGTCCCAAATATCTGAACTCGGGTAATACAGCTTCTTCAAGATGTGCTTTTACCTGCGGGGCCGCCTCCATGGCCTGAATATCTCACAATTCCTATGCTGTATTATTCAATTATGTCCTTGGAGCATTGCTAAAATATCATGCAATGTTATTCCATAACAAATGTGATGTGGAGATGTCATTATTGTATGTACTACCTTAACCTAATTTCTGAGAATATTAAAAAGCAAGAATATTACAAAGCTTCAGTATGAAAAAAAAAAAAAACCACAAAGTAAAATGACAACAAAAATAAAAGAGAGATAAACTGGCTTTTTTAAACTAGCTACTTGGTCTGTGTGTACTCACCTTTATACCCTTTAAAAAAAATCAATGTCATACTGCTGTTTAATAAACTGCACTCTGCAGTCATTTATTTTTTGAGTCTTGAGTTGGCTCTACAGAACAATGTATTAACCTTAGGCAATTGTTATCTTGAAAGTTTCCACCGTAGTGGATGTATCTTGTCCTTAACAGCAAACTTGTGAAGATTTTTATGAAATAGTTCCAGTGGGACTTGCAATGAAACGTATTTCACATCCAAAGCACAGAACCAATTCGCTAGCTGGATTAACTTTAATATTCCTACCCAAAAGGACGTTATGCATTGGCTATTTTAAATGCAATGCTGTGCCTTTATCTATCTAAAAAGGAAGGCAAGCTAGGGGCAAAAAGAAAAAAAATCAATCTTTAAATTTCTCAAACTTGTTCAGTACACAGGTGCGTTTCAGTGAACTGCGGCAATTTCAGCTGACTGGGGCACAGTGGAGTCGATGAGCTCTGAGCTGCAGCTTTATTTCCTCTGAATCTCTATGAATGCATTGCTTTTTCATGTCACTTTAACCTTTGAAAAAATGGCCTGATACTTAGAGAATAAAAGCACAAGGAAGCTACAAGCTGCATGCACAAGTGACATTACGCTCTTCATTTACGAATCTAAAAAAAATACACATTTTTTCTTTTTTTTTAAATAGAGACACATGGAAATGTCAAGGCCATTTAGATGCATTTAGAGTACACAAAGAGGCCCTTTTTGAAAGGCATGGGTTATTAGGGCAAGCCCCTATCAGGTGACTTAGACAATAAGATAAAGAACATACTTTGCACAGAAGTTAGACTTTCGTGATCAGTTCTCTATCACTTTTTAAACAGCTCCAGATCACACTGCATATGCATGATTTTGATATAAAATCACATGGAAGAAAAACAAGTTACTACCTAAGAAACGAAATATCTTCATGCTTTCTGCCATTCCCTTTAACCTTTGTTTCTCCCTTTGCCCTTTTCTAAAATTAAAGCAACTAAGTGATTCCTAAGTGTCTTTTTCTTTGGGGCAGCAATGAATTACATTATGTCTATTGATTTGATGTTCGATAAATATGTTATGACTGAACCGTGCTGTAGCAGTGCACAATGCTCTGAGGATGTGATTACATGGTGTGGCTCTCTAGCACTTACCCAGAACAGTGAGATAGGCCTTGGAAGTTTTGACAGGCATTGTAAATAAGGAGCAAGTGTACTGTCCTTCATCAGAGAGAGACACATCACTGACACTGATGCTCAATTCATGCCAAGAAGCGCGAACCAGCTCAATCCGATTGTCTCTTAAAGCTGAAAAGAGAGGAATACTGAAATTATAAATAACATCAGATACAGTAAGTGTATTTAAAAGATAGATTTAGAACACAATACAATGGCTATTTTATTTAACCATCTGTTGAACTTTTAGTTCCTGAGACACATTAACCGATATTTTAAATACATATTTTTAAAAACAAAGAACAATTTGGAGCTCCTTAATCATTGAATAACCATTTAATTACATAGTCAAATCCAGTATAATATTTTGAATGAGGAAGAAGTTGATGGTGATTAAAATGGTTTCCATTCACAGCAATTTTATAGAATGAATGCCAGTGGCATAAATATTTTGAAAATGATAGACAGATACATCTGGGGAATGAAATTGCTAACACTCCTCTAAGATACCAACAAACAATTTCTGTGTATTAAAAAAGTTACTGTCATAGAAACACTTGTTAAACATTATTTATCTCAGAGCTGACAGTTGAAAAGTACCTGTTACTTACCTATTGCATACATTTGCACTGATTGGGTATTGTATTATGATAATATACTCTCAGGGTAAAAATCACTACCCCACTCCTTCTATCTGACCCTATCCTATCTAGTCTCATCAGGACTAGCTGCATTGTCATCCTCTGTATGAACTGGAGGAGGGGCATAGGGGGAGAAGAGGGAAGGGGGTGTGATTAGGAGGAGACAAGGGTGGGACCGCAGCCAGTATACAAAGTGAATAAATTGTAATAAATAATAATAATTTAAATATAAAGAAATTTGAAAATTACTTTTCAACTACATCTCCTTTTAGAGAATCTACTGGAATCTTACAAAATTTTGTACCTTTTCACTCAATTGGGAAGGAAAAATGAAAATGTGTTATGTACTTCATTAAGAATGCTCAATCCTTATCCAGAAAGACAAAGAGTATGGACATCAGAAGAAGGAGAAAAGAGGGAACAAGTCAGGAGCCTGACACAGAGGACCTCTGAAAAGCTCTGCCCTGCAGACTATCAAAGCAGATGCTGAGACTTATGGCCACACCATGGGCAGAGTGCAGGGAATCTTATGAAAGAAGTGGGAAACAGTAAGATCTGGAGAGGACAGGAACTCCACAAGGAAAGCAACAGAACCAAAAAGTCTGAGCACAGGGGTCTTTCCTGAGACTCATACTCCAACCAAGGACCATGCATGAAGATAACCTAGGACCCCTGCACAATTGTAGCCCATGGCAGTACAGTGTCCAAGTGGGTTCCATAGTAATGGGAACAGGGACTATCTCTGACATGAACTGATTGGCTTGCTCTTTAATCACCTCCCCCTGAGGGGGGAGCAGCCTTATTAGGCCAGAGAGGAAGACAATGCAGCCACTCCTGATGAGACCTAATTGACTAGGATCAGAAGGAAAGAAGTCCTCCCCTATCAGTGGACTTGGGGAGGGGCATGCGTGCAGAGAAGGGAGGAAAGGAGGGACTGGTACAGGAGGAGAGTGGGAACCACAGGGGGGATACAAAGTGAATAAAGTATAATTAATAAAGAATTAAAAAAATAAAAGAAAATAGCAATAAATAAAGGGTGCGGGAGAGATGGCTCAACGGTTAAAAACACTTGACTGCTCTTCCAGAGAACATGGATTCAGTTCCCAGCACCCACATAACAGCTCACACCTGCCTGTAAGTCTAGTTTCAAGAGACCTGATGCCTTCACAAAGACATACATGCAGGCGAAATGCCAATGCACATAAAATAAAAATAAATAGTAAATTATTTTTTAAAAGATTAGCAAAAACATCTAGAATTAAGCAAGATATAGCTATGAGTTTTCTCACTGACAACCAGAACCGTAAAGCATCTACATTTCCACTGTGCTTTTTCACTTATTTCCATTAGAGACAAAGGAATATCATCAGTACAAAGCTGCTATCCCTTGAACCACCTTCACCACCAGGCAGTCTTGACAAGGGTATATCTGCTCTCTACAGTAACAAGTCTAAGGTAGAAATCAGTGTCAACTCATGTGTAACTAAATAAGTCAGTTGGACTAGAAAATACAACAAATTCTCACAATACTGGACTCCAGTGAGACATATACAGAATATATAAACACAAACCAGGATCTTAAAAACATGCTGAATGTACCTATAAGTGCTATCTGTTCTAATGGCATTCAGCCTTGATGTAGCAAACAAACATTCGAGGGTAAAATTCATTAAGTAGTCACTTACTGCTATGCTTTCTGATTAAAACCTCGACAGGATTTAGAATCACCTGGGAGAGAAATCTCAGCACATGACTATGATGGATAGTTGATATTGGAAGACCCACATCTACTGTGGGTGACACCATCCCTTGGGCTGATGTTCTGTGCTGAATAAAAAGGAGAAAGGCAGCTGACAATTTATCTGACTTACTGTGATTCAATGTGCCTGTTGTCTTTTATTTCTGCTGCCATTGTTCACCTGCTGTGAGTGAATATTCCCTGGAGTTGAAAGTCAAACACTTCTTTCCACAAGTTGCTTTTGTTGGGTGTTTTTTTTTTTTTTTAAGAAAGTAAGAAACTAAGACACTGGCCATAGCAAGTACTAGCAACATCATCCTTGTTGATTAGGAGAATAACCAAGGAGCCAACACTGAGAAGAATCAGATACTAGAAGTTTCTGACAAGGACTTTGAAATGGCCATCATGACTCTAAAAACACCTCAAAAAGCAGTTACTAATTATGATAGAACAAGTAAGAAAATAGAAAAGTGAGTAAGAAAATGGGGTTATTAAAAAAAATCATAATAGCTAGAAATTGAAACCAGCCTTTATGTCCAGCAACACATGACTGCATACAAGAAAACATAGTACATATATACAATCTAATTTTATGTAGCCATAAAAATAAATGAAATTATAACATTTTCAAGAACATGAGCACAATTACAAATCATTATACTCTAGAAAAAGCCACATTAAGATAGACAGTCTTTATGTTTTCTCTAAAAGGCACAATCTATAAAATTATAAATGTAGTGCATTTACATGGGTGTTTGTATGTTCAAAACTTAAAAGGAAACCATGAAAGAGGGAGGGAGGGAAGGAGGAAGTAGAGAGGAGACAATAAGGAGGGCAGAAATGAATAGGTTAGTGAAATGCATGTAATAAGAAAACAAGATGGGGAGCTCACTGGAAAGGAATAAACAGAACAGCTTAGTGACCCTGTGATACGTCAAATATAGGTGCCATTATGCTCTCTGGAGAGAAGAAAGAAAACAAGATTGAAAAACTGGTGAAACTCACTTATATAGACCTATAAGATAGGATAGACATACTGAAATCTATACACCTAAAGAAGATAAACAAGAAAGAGGACCCAGGGTAAGATGATCAATCCTCACTTAGAAAGACAAATGGGATGGGTATTGGACATAGGAGAAAACAAATAATAGGACAGTAGCCTACTGCAGAAGGCATCTGAAAGACTCTACCTAACACTGTATCAAAGAAGATACTAACACTCATAACCAAACCTTCGGCAGAAGGGGAGTTAGTATGACGTGGAAAGGATAAGCGCTCCAAAAGGACCAAATATATCTGGGCACAGGGGTCTTTTCTGAGACTGACACTCCACCAAGGACCATGTATGGATATAACCTAGAACCTCTGCTCGGATGTAGCCCGTGGTAGCTCAGTAACCAATTGGTTTCCCATAGTAAGGGGAACAGGGACTATTTCTGACAGAAACTCAATGGCAGGCTCTTTGACCTCCCCACCCCTCAAGGGAGGAGCATTCCTGCTAGGCCACAGAGGAGGACTTTGCAGCCAGTCCTGAAGATACCTGATAAATCAGAGTCAGATGAAAGGGGAGGAGGTTCTTCCCAATCAGTGACTTGGAAAGGGGCAGGAAGGAGATGAGGGAGGGAGGGTGGGATTGGGAGCAAATGAGGGAGGGGGATACAGCTGGGATACAGAGTTAATAAAATGTAACTAATAATAAAAATTTAAAAAAAAATTTAAAGAGATTAGTCAAGCAGAAAAAAAAAAGCAAAACTAGTGAAAAAGATAACAAATGTTTCTCAAATGGGCAAAAAGCATAAATATACAGAATAAAGACACTGAGGAATATGAAAGAAGAAAAATCAACAATCCAGTCCAATATACATTAAAATTAAACTTCTAAAGTTTAAAAATATTGGGAAGAACTTGGTAACACTAAATTGTTCCATGCATACATATATAAATCTGCATAGTTTAACCATGTGCTTGGCTTAAACCCCGAACTACTGGGAAACACCTAGCTGGACCCTGAATTGGCACTTACTTATAGAGGATGATAACTGGTCTTCATGTCTTGCATTTCATGTGGAATCAAATGTTTCAGGTAGTATTTAAATTGCTTTAATATAAGTTTTTCAGTGACAATTTGAAAATATTTTGGGTTTTGAATCTTGGTGATAAAGTGAATATTTTAATTTATACAATGCTTTAATCAGTTCATTTACTGAGTAGGCTTAGCATTCCAATACTTTGACACTATTTGCTGTACAAAATTTTTTTTAATTTTTTATTAATTACACTTTATTCATTTTGTATCCCCCCATAAGCCCCTCCCTCCTCCCCTCCCGATCCCACCCTCCCTCCCCTTTCTGCATGCATGCCACTCCCCAAGTCCACTGATAGGGGAGGTTCTCCTCTCCTTTCTGATCTTAGTCTATCAGTTCTCATCAAAAGTGGCTGCATTGTCCTCTACTGCTCCCCCCTCAGGGGGAAGTGATCAACGAGCAGGCCAATCAAAATTTTTACTACCTTTGACTGACAACTTACCTCCAAAAATTAACAATAGAAATTTAATTTCAATTTTGTCATTTATCAATAAACCTGAACAATTAATTCTCAACAATACTGTTTGTCTATTTTGTGTTAAGTGAAACTAATAATGAGACTCTGAGACTGAAGAGAATAAAAGAAATCTGTTTTAGGACTTCAAAACTGACATGCATAGATATATATCCACTGAAAAATGTACAAATACTCAAAACTAAGACTGC